GTTTGTTTTCTGTTGTGGTTGATGACTATGATTACTGGTCAAAGGTAACAGATCTAAGGCTGGTTATTGCTTTTACGGAGCATACATATTAAAGTTCTGACTTTGCCGGACACTTACTATTAATGCAGATTAGACTGGCGCAGTTTTTAAACCTTTGTTTCCATTGATCAGCATTTATGTTGGATGGTCTTTAATGACAGCTTTCAGTGATTCTAGGTATGGCAGGACATAGAGTGAATTGGTCCTTTAAATTCAGGAGTTGGAGAAATAGTGAGTGACATGCAGCAGGGGAAGTACAAACAACCTGCATAGAGAGATGAAGTTTCTGCAATCTGAAATTTGAGAGTTCATAGCTGAAATGTGCAGGAGAAACTTGCTGGATGCCAATCTGATAAGAATTTTGCTCCTATGTGCAGATGGCCTTTTGATTTCTGTGCTTATAGATACATTTGCTGACATAGATGAGTTGTGTTCAGTGTCCCTATCCCTAGTTTTCCAAATACAGTTTATAACTTAAATAATAGATTTCTGTTTCCCTGAATCATGACTAATGTTCCCCCATGGCTTCTTACTTGGCATGGAAACTATTAAAAACAGTTAGTTAGATGGCTGCCTCCTGAGGCCAGCCAGCAGAGTCCCTCAAATGTCTGGACATCCTTTGGCTACCAGTAGATACTTTTGATTGCCTCACACCCTGCCCTTTCGTGCTGTTCTTGGTCTTGTCCCTTTGGCCTCAGTTACAGAAACCTGCAGTACTGCCTTTGTTGGCAGGTATTTTCATACTGTTTAGACTAACAGAACTGAGCATGCTGGAATTGCCAAAATAGTTACCTTAAGCCAGTAAGCCTCTTACTTGGTACTAACAGTCAATGCTTGACTGTCCCAAAACACTGCTTGTCCTGTCCAAACCCACAGCTAGAATTCTCAGTCCAGGTGCTCTGAATTCCTGGCATCAGTTACAAAAGCAGGCTCACTTTTGGCTTTGATAAATGCCTTGCATGGCTGTTGCAAACACCTGTTTTGCCCATTGCCTTAATTGCATTACTCCTTTCCAACCCAATGCTGGCTCTCAGTCCTTGGCCAGCCTCAAAACCCTGCGGATGTATCACTGCCCTAGCTGTGATCTTTTGGAAATGCAGTGAGGTTGACTCCTATTTCTTGAACCTGAGACTGTGGTTTCTTTCTCTTAATTTTGTGACAACCCTTAAAACTGTATCCAGGACTGCCGCATGTTTGGTGGATTTTCCCTGGAAAGGCAAAATTGTTCTGCTTGCTTCTTTAAAACATGTCTCTGCTATGATGCTTGCAAGAAACCCCAACCAATACTGCTACTTACTGTGCTATCTTGTTTCTGGGAACATCCTGACCTGTCTAGTTCTCTGCCTCGGCATCACAAGCATCCTCAGCAAGCCTACACACTATGTTTTTGTTCTGATGTGTACGTCATCCAGGATGCTGGTATCTGGCTGAAAACTGTCTCCTGTGTGTACAGTAATACAACTAGCGGGAGGAGAAGGGAGTCATGCTCCTTAGAGCTTCTGCGGGAGTTCAGTGCTGCTCTTCATTTGATGAAGATTTTTTCCTTTTGCACCTTCTATCTCTTATTTTATAGATCCCTCTTAGAACAGTCTCTTCCCTCTTCAAGCTGTGAACCTTATGCATGTTGCTGCTTCCCTTCCTCATGCCCTACACTTCCTTCCTTCCTGACTCTAATCTTCTTGGTGCTGATCAGGCAGCTGGTGATGGTCATGTTCTGCCAACTGGCTGGCTGGCCTAGAAGCATTTGTAGAAAGATACTTGAACCTACGTTAAACATGTATCAGCTTTTCCTTTTGGTTTTCTGCTCTTTTTTCCCCATTTTTCTTAAAATCATAGTGAGTCTAGACCTTGCTGCCTAAACTGTTCCCAGTTCCAAGCAATTTTTTTAATTGCTTAGAAAGCGCTACATTTGGTTTTCAAACCAAGAAATGCAGCAAGGTTGACCCATAAGCTCATCCAATAAATACAAGAAAATGTCTTCTCCTAATTAATTAGCTTATTAACTATGATTAAATAGCCATATGGTTCATCTCGCTTCGATTCATTTGCTTTCCTCCTTTACTTCTGTCTTTTGGATCAGGAGTTCCTCTCCCATAAGAATCCCTCTTCCTTTTGTGTTCCTTCCTTCTGTGTTTTCCTGCCTGTATGACACTTGTTTATATTGACAGCAGCAGAGAGGACGTGTACAGAACTTTTTACTTACAGAACACAGTATGAAAACAGTTGCTAATTCTTGTGTGTGTATCTGTCTGTATATTGTTTAACTGGTAGCAAAAGAGATGAGGCTTACCTGATGTAGTAGCAGAGATAGGAATAAAGGTCAAGAGCTGTTGGACTTCAGATATGTTTAGTATGTTAAACAGTACTTAGCCATAGAAAGGTTTGAAATAAGATGAAGATTCCTGAATCATTGCTAGATGTCGATATTCATATTGTCACTGCAGCAGAGGCAGAATGTAACAGTGATTGAGGAGGAGGTGGAAAGACTCACCATAAGTACTGAGTGACACTGCATAAGGGAAGGAAAGAGAGGAAGCCTTTTGGTTTTATATTTCTGAGGCAGGCAAATTTAGTAGTAGAGGCTGGGTAAGAAACCATGCCACCCTTCCTTTTAAGCCTTTAAAAGGTTTCTATCTATGGCTGCTGGGGAGGAATGGGACCAAAAGTTTCGCTTTTTGGTCTCTTACCAAATTCCTTGTATTATGCCATTGTCCTTGGCAACTGGTGAAGGGGAAGGGTAACATACTCTTGTGACAGGGGAAAGCAAATTTCATTAGTAAAAGCCTGTTTTAAAAACATAATACTTGGGAGACTATCCTGGCATCCTGGAAACTGAGCTTTTGTGTTTATCCATGAAATAAGTATGTGGGGACAGAGGTGGTTTAAATGCCGTAATTCTGCCACTTTGCTGATGAACCTCTGCCCAGACTGGGAGTGAATGGGATGACCTTCAAATTTACTTACCACAGCTAAACTTTTTCACTTGAATTTTGGAGCAAGTTTTGTGTTTCTTTTCTTGTAATATGAATAGCTTAGGCTTTCAACCTCTTTTGGTAAACCCCAGCTGTTTTTCAGTGGTTTTGCAGACGCTCTCAGAAATCTCACATATGCACAGTGCTGTATAGCATGCCTCAGTTATTTTTTTTTTTTTTTTTCTGAGTTCATGGATGCCTTGAAACTGGTCTATGTTTCTTGAAAGATGAGGAGAAGGTGCAAAACACAGTTTGGAAAGCTGTGCATTAGGAGGCTTGTTCTGGAAGTGACAGTTTACTTCCAAACAACCTCAAAAAACCCCATTGAGATTATTTTATGTTTTGGGGTTTTGTGTTGGCTTGGTTTTGGCTTTTTTTTTTTAAAATTGATGAAACTAATCCTTTTCCTCATCTAAAACCATGAGTCATCGTCCTCTGTGTGTGTCGTGTGGTGTGTGTCGTGCTGCCCACCCCCCGCCCCCCCCCAATTAGAGAACTCAACTTGAATTTATTTAAAATTTTACATTCGTTTTCCTTATGGGGCTGAGTTTTCATGATTTTTTTTCCTCTGCGATCATGAAGGCTATAAAAATGATATAGAGGAGTCATATAATGACTTGATTCTAAGAGCTAAAATTTCAGAGTAACAATCATTAGAGCACTGCCAACACAGTTTTGAGGAGCCAGTGCTGTGCTGGCTTGAATCAGGTTTCAATCAATAAACCAGAGGTGAAAGGCGCTGCTGCTCATCCTGTTTGAGAACTCCCTTTTCTTTATTTACTATTCAATGCAGCAGCTAGGGTTTCTTCAAAACACATGAAGGTTAAGTGTCGAAACAGGCAAGTCTGTTCTGCGCCACATAGCTGAAACTGATTTTGTGAACGAATTCTTAAGTGCATGTTGCCATTGAAAGAGCATTGATTTGGGTTTGGACTTGAATGATCAACAAAGAGCTTTTCAACCCTTTACTGCCCATGAGGAGCCTGGCAAACAAATCTGGCAAAGCTTAGCTAAACTTAATTTTGACACAAGTGGTTTTCCTGTGGTCACTTAATCAGACACAGAACTATCAATGACTAAGTGAGCCAGTAAAATCTCTATTTGTGTACTGGGTTGTAGCTAATTATCAGTAGGCACAAATTATTTTTTTAAATGTGATTATCTGTAGTTTAACCTGTCCTATCAGTTGTGATGGATCTGCCATTAATTTCTACCTTTTTCCCCCCCTTTTTTTGCCAACGTTAAGTGGCTAAAAGCCAAGGTAAGAAGTGTTATTTCTCCTTTGACCCACAGTGCCTCATGTGACTGATAGTAGAGGCTGCGGAGCCATTAAAACTGAAAACTAGCGCTCTCTTACTCTTCTCTGCTTTCCGTAGGATATTTAGATTAAATATGCTATACTTGATTTTTTTTGTTTACAGCGTTTATCCTGTGTCAATATATCTGTGATACATTGACATCTGCATTTATACATAGACACATTAATTTCTCTAACACATGTAGTGCTTTGCTCTGAATTCGGTAGATGCCTTGATTTCCTTCACTTACATTTTTTGCAGGAGACTTCCCAGACAACCTGAATGACTTTGCTAGTCAAATAGCAGGGTCAAATTGAGAAATTCTGGGCCTATGCTGACTGTATTGTACTGTCAGTGTTAAAGTTTGTTTTAAATGATTAACACCCTAACAGAGATGAACACAAATGTGGCTTCCCTTTAAAGGAAAGAGGATATAAGAGATTTGTGCATGAACCTGTCAATTGCCTACCTTTCTGATGTCTGTTGTAAATTAATAGCAAAAATAACATTAAGCTTGTATTTAGACTCTTTGTATTTACTGGTGTCTGTCTTGTGTGTAGCTGAAAACTTACTGTTTGACAGCTGTCTGGGAATTCTCACTTCATATTCTTACACTTAAAAAAAATAAAAAAGTTGTCAATAATAGAGCTGCTCTGTTATAAAAATAAAATCATGTTTTCCCTTATTTCAGCATGGAAATAACCAGCCTGCAAGAACTGGCACCTTGTCAAGAACAAATCCGCCTACACAAAAACCACCAAGTCCTCCCATGTCAGGCCGGGGAACTCTGGGGTAAGAATGAAGACTGTTTGGTCTTGACTGTGTAATAGAAAGTTTTAATTCTACTGGTGTTGGTGTTTCTTAAATATGTGGGTAGATGGCAATTCTGATTGACCTTTAGCAAAAAAATCAATTAACTTTTCTGTATAAACCCTTTCAGCTACATTGACTCTTATTTTCATGATGACTTTTGAACAAATGTTTTTTCACAGGGGAAGGATTTATTATAGATATGGGTAAATGAGGAGGCTATTGTTGTTGATTTTTGGGGAGAAATCCTTAGTGACACAAGAATATCAGTAAGGTTTTAACTTCAGTGGGGGAAAGACTTCATTGTTAAAGTTTTTGTCTACTCATTTCTCAATATTCTAGGAAGTATGAAATGGCTGTTGGTGCCATATTTGTTGCATTATCTAAGCAAAATTCATGGTGTTGTGAACACATTGGCAGCATTGATTCTCACGGGCTTGTGCATTTTTATTTTTATGCTTAAATGAGGAAGGATTTTGCTATTCGCAAGTACCACTGTGACCAGAGTTCCTTGCTGTAGCATCTATTTTGCTGCTGCAGACCTGTGTGAGTGAAATCTGCTTATCTTGGTGTGCCAGCAAGTAGTTGCTAGAGACCAAAATATTAATACTTGAGAGGATCAGAGCACGTGCCATATGGTTTTGTCTGTCCAACTGTGCAACATCTTCCAAAAGGCATCCTAAACAAGACCACCTGCCTATTTGTCATTCTTAGTCTTTCCTTTATGCTGGGCGGGACTGAGGCACTGTAAAGCTGGCTGGCATGGTTGTGTTGGCTTCAGGTATGTTGTCTGGGAGAAGTGGGGAGATGGAAAAATGAGAAATAATGAGACGAAACAGGATGGAGATCAGGAACAACAGTCAAGGAAAATTAGAAGTAACAACTCCTTTTGTCAAAGACTTAGTAATTTTTTTTTTAATCCTGATTTGATGGTTTGCTGCTTCACCATGGCAGTGTTTGTTGTGTATTCTGCAGAGAAATTACCCTAGAGGTTTCCTCAGCCTGTTTTGTGAAAATTCCCATTGCTCAAGGGCATGTAATCAGTATTCCAATTGTCTCTTATCCCAGCTGAGAAAGAGTTGTTTATCAGCTCTGGGAAGCTGGGTAGCGCTTTCATGTCCTCTTGGACATTTGCTAGTGAAACAGCAATGTTGATGTACTGGTGAGCTGCCTCTCTCTGATGCTCCCCCTTGAACAAGCCAGAGCTGTTTGGTTGCCTTAGCTGATGCCTGATAAGGATTAATCAGCTGAATGTCATTTCCAGATGAGCTTGACAAGAGGCAGCAGTTGGCTGAGGGGGAGGAATAATGTGGGTTTGTAACAGAGATTTCTGTCTGCCCTTCTTGTTAAGGAAGTACGGCTCTTGTCTTGAGCAGCCGTGTTCTGCCAAAGCATGAAATATCATAGGCATGACTGTTTCCCTAATATATGCAGAAAAAATTGCTAGAAACCTCAAGGATACTACTCCTCTCCCTTTGATCCAGAAAACAGAGATAAGCGTGTAAAATCAGAATGAGCTTAGTGTGTTACACAGGCCTTTAGGTACATGCTGCCTGTTGTGCAGCTTGTCCCTCCAAGGCAGGACTATCTAAACACATTGGGGAGAGAGCCCTGCACAGAAATCACCTGGGCTGAAAAGGGAAAGGGACTGCAGAAAGCAGGAGTCTCTCCACTGGACCAGGGAGAGACTGTGGAAAACCTCGGGTGCTCAGGTGGGAAGTACCACAGGAGGAGGAGTGATTTGCAGGAGCTGGGCGGAGGGAGTAGTTGCAGTCGCGCCTTGAGGGTCCTGGGGCAGAGCAAGGCCTTGGACTCCCTGTAGCTCTCCCTGATGGCAACAGTAATCAGCACCGCATGGAAGCGTTGGGGGACAGTGAGGTGGGGAGTGCTGGGCAGTGTCGAGAAAGGGTGTCTCCCTCCTCTACGTAAGGCTGGCAGAAGAGCAAAGGGAAGGATTGGGCTTGAGTGAGGGAAAGAAATTGGTTTTGACTTCTCTGGTGCTTAGGAGTTCGAGCTCTTCAATGAGGCTGAGAAGAAACTGAGGCATGGCTGAACCTGAGGATGTAGTGGGGGGTTGCTTTTAAGTTGTATGGGCGAAATAAATAGTACTACAGAGCTGAGTAGTAGTTCCTGTTGCCAGCGCATTCCAAGGTAGAATACTTTAAAACATTAGTTTTCAAGGTTATTTCTGTTGGAAGCACAGTTAAAGTCTTCCCTGCTTATCCTTTTATTTGGCAGTATTTAGGGCTGTATCTCTTACAACTAGAATACAAAGTTTCTTTATTTTTCCCACGCCTGATCTCTTTTGGCAGATACATAGGTGGTGGCAGTCTGCATATTAAAATCATCTGGAGTTCTTTATGTAGAGAAACTAATTTACAAACGCCACAGTGCATGCAAACAATTATGGTATTTCCACTTTTCTCTTTGAGAGGTTTTAATAATAAAATGTTATAGTTAAAATTTAGTACTATTGCGTTCTATTGTAAAAAGGAAGTCAGTAAGTTTCTTAAAATACCAGGAAGCTATATAACTTATCAACTCAGTTATAACCAGTAATTGAACAAATGATTAAATGACAGTAGTTTCAGTATTTTTGGTTTTGCTTAGCTGGTGCATTGCCAAATTCCATATCTTGCAAGGGATCTCTTAGTTACTGGTGAGAACTGAAGAGCTCTGCAATTCAGTACAATAAATGCACTGTTCTTAAGGCAGTAATGGGTCTGCTAAATAGATCTTGAAAGATCTGTGTTATATTTCTGACTTGATGCAGTCTTCTAGGTAACCTTGGAAATCTCTGGGCTTCACTTTCTTGGGCTGCAAAGTGAAGACAATGAAGCTCATCTGTGAGGCACTTTGAGGTCTGCTTAAGTGATAGGAGATTGCCTGATGACTGTGAAACAATGCTACTAGGAAGAGCACTGGTGATTGCAAATGCAGCTTGTTGTGTGAATCTTTCAGCCTTACTCCTGTCTTAATGAGTTGAATACCTTTAGCCAAGAATTCTTTTGGAAAGCATTTGGAGGGGAAGGGGGAAAAGACTAAATTGTTACAGTGGAAGAGTTTGTCACGTGCAGTGTGATGAAAGGTAACCCCAGAATATTATGCGGATGTAACTATTGTATGTTATGTAATTCAAAGAATATGTTTTGGCTGTTAAATTTAGTTTAGGCTTTAACCAGTTTATGTGCTGTAGGCCAACTTGTATGGATCTGTCTACATAAGAGCACTTCAGAGAGTTGAATGTGAGCTGTCTACCCTGCCCAGTGGAATTTGTTAATATACTGTAATGTGGATCACTGTGCAGTGACCTCTTATGAAAACTTAAGAAAACAAATGGCTTTGCTACTTCATTGATTTATCCTTTTGATCATCTGATCTTTTATCTTTCTGCCTTCAAATCTTTTTTCCTTGACCAGACGAAATACTCCTTACAAAACCCTGGAGCCAGTCAAACCACCAACAGTCCCCAATGATTACATGACCAGTCCAGCCAGACTAGGCAGTCAGCACAGTCCGGGAAGGACAGCTTCCTTGAACCAGAGACCAAGAACACACAGGTAGAGCATTTTCTCGCTGTAACTCTTTCCTGCCTGGCATGCTGATGCTTACTAAAGTTACTGAAAAACTTTGCCTGTTGGCTTTTTGTTGAAAGGCAAAAGGTGAGTTATTCTACCACTCTGCATTAACAGAACTTCACTGTATTGTTCACTTCTCTAACACATAGAAATATCTTCATACTGTATAGAAGCCTAATTGTATCTAGCAACTTACTTCCATAACTACAAACCTCGTTTTATATAATCAATTAATTTTGTTCTATGATATTTGTTTCCTAAGAATAAGCAAACCTTCAAAATTTATGCAGTTGCAAGGTAGGGTAGTGATGGGTCCTAATGGGTTTAAAGCTGCATTATTAACCTTAGCCTAAGATACACTTAGGCACTTTTTTTTTCTTGTTTTCAAGACCACTGATTGCAAAGGGAAATTTCTGTTGATTAGAAACACTGTGATGAAGGTAGTCTGAAAGAGCTGATTGCTTTCTTTTTGCTAAAACTTAATGCTCGTAATCAGTGCTAGCATGATAGAAGTAGAAAATAAAAGCTATTCACAGAGCAGGTATTAGCATCCGCCAGTTGTTTCGACATGCTTAAGGGCTTTAATGAAAGAGTAGTGTGTGTTTTGGGTGAGAAGGGTGTTCAGAATGTACCTTGGTTTTGATTTTTTTAAATGTAATTTTTTTTGTTGAATTGGAAGGCTAGATCTTTCTCTGAGCCTCTTGAGTGAGATAATTTTTTTTTTCAATTTGATTTTTATCTTTGTTTTTTCCCTGCAGTTTGAAGACTGACAAAAGAATTCAGTGTAGTTAGAAGTAAGAGGTTAGCTTAATTAGAGAGCTTCTTTTTGAAATTTTTTTTTAAACTCCCAGTCGGCAGTTAAACACAGTAGGTCACTAATGGGAGTTGAGAGGGTATTTTGGACACAGCTGATCATGAAATACTGTCAGAATGAAATAACTTCTAAATCTGGCTGCAACGAAGATCTTGTTAATCTGTTTAGCTGGCTACTGTGAATGCTCCCTACTCTTGTCTCACAAGATCTTCTTTTATGTAGACTGCAGTTAGAAATTCAGCTGCAACCATGGTGACAAGAGCAAGGTCTTCAGCAGACAGAACACTAATTTTGAAGGAATTATCTTGGCTTCCATTTCAGATCACCAATTTTCTTTTTTGTAATAGTGTTATTTTCTTAAGATGTATTTGAATGATTTGCACTTGACTCATGACAGCATTGATTTGTACCTACCCAGGAATGGTAAATAAACTATAACATCACTGAGTACTCTTTAATTAACATGGATGGGTTAAAGTAGTGTTTTGGCTTCAAAACATCTTGACTACTTAGTTCCCTTTATATTATCCATTTAATCCATGTAAATTCAAGCTTTGGCATAAGGAGTGCTCTTGGATAAGAATAAGGACAGATTCCGTCTGAATCTTGATTCTTTTTCAGCTTCCTTGATGAGAAGAAGTGCTATGACCCCCAAAGGCATGCGTAGAAATGTTATCCAGTAGTTCAGTAGAAGTATGTTCTCTAAAAATATGTATCGCTGACCTCTAATTTGTATATCACATAATGGTTCTTGGACAAATTATGACCTGACTGTAGTGTTACCTTTGAGACTACCTTAGAAACAAACCTCTCATACCAAAAAGTGTGTGCATGGTTGGGCAGAGTGTTAGATATACAGAAAATTATCCACACCACACTCCACACCACACCCCAATTGGTTTATCATGGCCATTCTCAGTTAAAAAGTTCTCAATCTAACTTCTGTTCTGAGTAGAGGAAATGTTCCTTCAGCTGACAGCATAAATAATTTTAAATAATTGTTTATAGTTTAGGCGTGAACTATTCCAGCCCCAGCTTATTACTTTCAGTTATTACAAGGCCCCTCAACTAAACCTGCAGTTGTTACTCCATTGCATAGAACTGGTATGGTTGCTTACCTTTTTATTTTTTAAAGCATTTAATTAGACATTTTGTGCATAGTGATGTTTATCAGCTTATCTAATTCTATTTATTAGGAGTGTAATGCATTCAGACTTGATTAGCTGGATGCAGGTGTACCTAGAGACAGAGGCATTTTGTAGGGAATTTTTCAGAAGTCTATAACTTAGGCTAGCAGAGCTCACACAAGAAATGTGACTGTTGATAGGCCTTTGTAGGAAATGCTGTGCTAATAATTGTGGTTTTCTTTTATAGTGGTAGTAGCGGAGGAAGCGGCAGTCGAGAGAATAGTGGAAGCAGCAGTATTGGCATTCCCATTGCTGTGCCTACACCTTCACCGCCAACCATTGGACCAGGTATGTGGGACTCTTGCCACATTAACTTAAGGCTCTAATGTCAGTCGTTCGTGTTTGCAGAGGGATTTTGACTGAATATGATGGGGTAGAAACTGTCCTGAAGCTCAGTCCTAGTCACGAAATCTCTTGAGTGCTGAGGGACATCTAAAATTTTAATTCTTTACCAAAAGTACTTCCAGAACAATCACTCATAGAATAGCGGATGTTTAAAACACCTTTGTTGGTCCATGTTTTTACAAGATAATCAAGGAGTGGAGAGGATAGAAGGAAAGGTGTATCCTTTTAAAGCTTAAGTATGTTTTTAAGTGCCTATCTGCAATTGGGCATTTCTGGATGCCCTGAGAAGCAGCAGCAACTATGTACATGTTTGATGGGAAATGTTGTCTTCTGAAATAGCTTGCTAACTTTACCATCTGCCAATGATGGTATGTACATATTCTTTTTTTAATTAAATAAAAGTCTTTACTTTAAATAAGATGCTGAAGATGACCTATGAAAACACTGCCAGTAGTAGAATTCAGGCTTATCCACCAGTGTTGTTTATGCTACGATTACAGTCTGAAGTTGCTAAGTTATGATGGAGATGGAGAGAGGCAGGAAAAATAGTGTGTATAAGATAGCACAGCAATAAAAGAGAACCATGCAGGATCTCTTGGCATTGAAAGCATGCTCCCTTGTCTCTTAAGAATAATGAATGGTGAGAATGTGTAGGATCCTTCTTTATTGTAAGCCGGCAGGATTATTATCTTGGTAATAAACCATCTCAGTCACTTGTTTACTATCTGTGTATTTTGTAAGCACAGAATGTTAATTTGCACAAGAAAACAGTAATGTAATTTTGCTATTCAACCTCTTAAATCTCTGTTCGTCAGATGACAAGTCTTCACTTTCTTATGCACATGTAGGCTTTCCTTTCCCAGGTGTTTCTGATCCTGCAGTGCTACAAATAGGCATGAAATCTGGCATCCCATAAAAATCAACAGGAATAAAGATCTGCAGGTACTGATCCTTGCATAGGATCAGGGCCCGAGTTTGTATCAGTTGACCAAAGCTGAATTTCTGTATGTATTTGTGAAGCCTATCAAGTGCCCGTGCTTTCTTATTTTTTATTTTTTTTCTAAAATATATGGCCTAATTGGGAATATAAACTATTTTATTAGCACACATTTCTGTTCCTCCTCCTCCTGGAGCCCCGCCGGCACCACCACTGCCACCACCTCTCCCGATGGGCAGTCTGATAGGTGAGACTTGTGTCAATGCTGAAGTGATTGCAGTCATGCTGCATAATCAATAATCATCTCTTCCTAATGGACTTAGTGAGGGTGTTTTTTCTTCTGTAGTGGGGTCTACATGATTTTTTAATATAAAAATCAGTTCTGGGATTTTGTTTGTTTTTAAACAAATCTAATCACTAATTTCCTGTGGTTAAAGCCTCTGAAGGTAAATGCACAAGGTACGGGGAAAAGGCTGCCAGTTGCTTGAACTGTCTGTTTCCGATAAAGCTAAGATCCAATTAGTCTGATCTATAAGAACTCAAAATCAGTTTGAATATTGGTATTCGTCCTGTATCACTCCTGCAGCTGAAACTAAGCCCCAACAGTTACACTCTGGCTTAAAAATGGTAGCTGATGTGTAAGGTGATGTATGTATTCTATCCTGTTGGTGTAAGGTGACTGAAAAGCAGAAGTGTCTGTCACAGTGCCTTGGGTTTCATTCTGTAATGCTGCAGGCAGGTGCCAAACTGGAAGACTTGAGGATACGAACGAACAGTTCTTGAAAAATTGCTTTAAGCATTACATATGGCTGTTAGGATGGGATCTAAAAGTACTACTTTTCAAAACAGGCAGGAAAAAATACCCCACCCTTTCCTGTCACAAGCTGATGACAAAATTCATTGATTGTGTTACGAAACTAGCTTTGGAGGCTTTGACCCACATAACCCTTTGCACTTTCCCTTACTGAAGTGTTAAGTGAAAGTGGCTTTGGATAGCATTACAGGACTGCAAACTTCTGATCGCACACTGCTTGTGTATATATGTGTGTGTGTGCATTTTTGTTTATAGATATTTATGTAAGATATATACATGTGTATATAAAAGCACGAAACATTTTATTGCAAAACAATTTTTGCATTTAAAAATTGCGTTGATCCATGTGACCTCAATGTATGAGATTCATTAGTTTGCAAGATGTGATTCTTTTCTCTGTCTGTCAGAGGTTAATCCAAAAGAGAACTTAAGTTGTTTTATTAACCTTGAAGTTTGTGCAGCAAGCATGTGGAAGGTAAAAATGGGTGTTTATCCTGAAGAATGAGTGACATGTCTTTCTGTCAGCTGGTGTTGGTGATTCTGATTTGTTAGTGCAAATTCCATCAATATAAAAGCACAGCTAGTGAATATGATTGATAAATGTGCCAAGTGTCTGAAGTCCATGATGTTTGTTTTACTGTTTTCTTAGAGTGTTGTCTTATATTCGATTGCAAACAAGTTCTGGTTCACAATGGAAAACATTTGCTTTGAGCAGAATGTGGATTTTTTTTTCCTGTGTGCTTTTTAATAAAGGGTATTGCATGTGGAATAATTGAGATATGCTTAGGATTTGGAAACTGATTCAATTGTACAGTCCGATCCAGTCTCTCAAAGTGGTTCTCAGCATTTCTCAAATGCCCTTTATGTCAGTGTTGGTTTATGTCCTGCGTGTTTCTTCTCATTATTGATTACAACGGGAATGTTTGTTTTCTGTTACTCTCCTGTTACTGGCCTTAAATTATTGGAGACCTGTAATCAAGTATTTCCCATGTTCTGGGCTTTTTTCTGTTTTCTGCATTCTATCCCAAGTAATGCTCTGCCTAAGTCTTTTCCTTGGTTCCTCTGGCTAATGCTTTTCAGCTGCTCCGGGTTCAGCTCCTGGTTCCCAGTATGGCACAATGACCAGGCAAATCTCGCGACACAACTCTACCACTTCTTCAGCATCTTCTGGTGGATACAGACGGAATCCTTCTGTGACTGCCCCATTTTCTGCTCAACCTCATGTTAATGGCGGGCCTCTTTATTCTCAAAATTCAAGTAAGCTTCTGAGCTCTGAAATCACAAACTGTTTTGAGCAAAATGATTGTAAAAGCATGCATGGCATTTTAATTTGTGTATGAAGAGCATCAATCGTATTACTGCTTTCTTTCCTAAAATAGAAGGAAAAACAAACAAGAAAAAACATATCAAAGTTGTACAGTGATTGCACTATATGCAATTATACTGTTTTCCCCTCTGACTTGTTTGCTGTTACTCATGACAAGAAGTTATTATGATTGCCTATCTAATTATAGGCACATTATACTTAGCATTTCAGGTGTGCTTGGATAACAGAAATTAAAACCAGATTTTTTTTTTGCAGGAAACCTAATGTGGTTGTAGTACAGTCCCTCCACTACCGGGCTAGTGGCAAAAGAGTACTGTCAGAGTAGAGTGCTCATGTAACAAACTTTTTCCATTACACAATTCCTCTCTGTCTCTTCCTAAATCCTGTCCTGATTCCAAGTTTCTCCTTGGTTCTTAGTTTTAAGCTTGACTGTTAAAGAAGCGCTCAGCCTCTCTCTTTTTAGCAGATTCCTCTGTGCTTCCACACTAGTAGTAGTATAGATGGAGATGAATGAGGGAAGGGTTGGATGCCATGGGCAAGTGAGCAGGCTTTAGTCAGCAGCATTCTGCCTGCCTACCCAACAGGGCAAATGAGGTTCACTGCAGAAAGATCTGCAAACTAAGGATTTACTTGAGTGTTGGTAGAAATCTGTTTCTATTGGGAACCTTCTTTGCCATTTCCATAAATTTTGACCAGATACACAGAGGAGTAATAGTCCTCTAATGGTTTCTGGTGGTCTTCTTCAGTGTGTCAACTCTTTAAACTTCAGAGTGATGCTTCTTTTAAAAAGAAATGTTGGTGTTTGGGCTGAAGATCACTTTGGACCAGTGTTTGCTGTTGTGTACTTACCCTTAAGGAAAGAATGCATATAAAATGTTTGAAACACTGAGGTGAAGAGTTTTTTCAGTAGTTTAGAAGTATTATATTTATCCGAAAGCATTTTTATATGCAGACAAAGTACCCATCTACCTTTTTTTTTCTCTCCCCAATCCTGATTTTCTTCCCGCTCTCTCACCCATACTGGCCCTTTATTTTCCTCTGCACTCTTGTTCCCTCAAATTAATTCACCATAACAACAGAAACTCCTTCCTGTTTGAACAGTTGTTGAATAAACAGGGCTTTACTTCTGGAAATAATTCAGTTGTCTTAAATGCTGTGTGCACACCACTGTTTCTGAGCATTTACATTTACATTTGTCCAAAGCAATTTTTTGCTCAAATGCAGGTGCTGTTCCTTAATCTAGCCTCTCTGGTGTTTTCAAAATACTGATTGTCAACATTTTTTTAAACAGTATTTTGACGGGTGTGTTTTTCTACTTTAAACTGCTTTCCTCTGTTTCTGTAACTGGTGATTTTTTTTAATTTTTATTTTTTTTACTGCTACTGTCTTGACATTAAATCCAGGTCCCATATTTCCTTGAGGTTTTGCTTTTCATGCTAACAAATACTCTGTTTTTTTCTTAGATGTTTACTTCAGTTTTGTGAGAAACCTGTTGTTCTCCCTCTTATTGATCATTTCTCCCATACAGTTTATTTGATTATTGGTTTTGTAATGAACTAAATGATCCATTTTTATTCATCAAACATTAATCTTAGTTACGGCTTTATTTAAAACTGTTGCTTACTTGGAAGTACAGAACCTCTTTCAAATTTGGTTCCAACTGGGTTACCCTGCTGAATTCCTGCCTTCACAGGAATTTCTCAGCTTCAGTGCAAGAGAAATTCCACTGAGAAGGGGCATGGTATAAACAAATGAGTTGATGTTTTGTTGGTGTGTGGGTTTTGATTTTTTGTTTTGTTTGTTTTTGTTGGGTTTCTTTTTTATTTCCCCCCACTTCATGGGCAGACATCCTGCCAGAGCTGATACTTTGAATGGCATACCCAACTGCTACCATGCCTCCTTCTTTCCTACCTGTAGAAGGAAGGGTTGAACATCTCAGCTGTCAGCCCAGCATCTCTGAGCAGTGGTGCCATGTGATTCATATCTCGCTACTCACCAGATCGGTACAGACCTCAGAGAACACCAGCTTGCAAGTGCTCCCTGGGGAGCTCTGTGCACTAGGGTAGCCAGTTGTACCTGTTGAAGCCATTGGCAGCCTCTTTGGTTGCCGAGTGCCTTGTAACCACGGAAGGCTTAATAGTTTAAAATAAAGCTCCATTCTGCTCTAAACCGATGTGGTTTTCCTACCAACAAGGTCCCTTTTTCTATGTAAAACAAAAATGTAGTAAGCCATCCCCCTGCCTCAGCAGAATAAAATCACAGAGGGTGCTCTCTGTATGAATATTGAGTATTGATGTTGCAACATGGTTTCCCTTGTAAAGTAGTTGTCTTGGCTCAGCGTCAGTGCTGCTTTGCCATGCTTCATGTAGCGCTCTACTGTTAGAGGTGGAGTCCAGAATCCTGCAAACGTCACCTCTACTTCTAGTAGCATACTTTTAAAAGATAACTATTAAATTTGAGTAATCCTTATTTGGCAGCAAGACAAAAAAGCTCGTTTTTGTGTGCTCCCCAAGTGAAGTGGAGCAAGTCCCTTCATATGTGCACCCTGTGAGCTTCCAGATGCACAGCCTATGCTCGGCTTGTTATTCGGCTCAACCCAGGGGCATCCTTTGCTTTTTGATCATTGATTGACTAACCACAAATTCAGCCTTGTTGGAAACACAAGCTTGAAGAAGGTTCTTCTGTGTGTGTGTTCTTGTTGTTCTTCACATACTTTGTTTTGTGGTCCTTGTTACTGACGGCTGCTTTTGTTTGTTTCCTTTTTTTTTTTCTGTGTCTGTTTGACTTTCCCCGATATGGTGTGCCTGTTGCTCCCAGTTTCTATTGCTCCACCCCCTCCCCCTATGCCTCAGTTGACTCCACAGATACCTCTCACAGGCTTCGTGGCCAGGGTGCAGGAAAACAGTAAGTTTGGACAAGCTGAGCTGTTAAAGGGTAGAGCCTACTTTCTTCTAGCATGCATGGCTGGCAAGTCAGATTCTATTTTGTTTCCTTTTCCAGAAGCTAATACCATCTTGCATTCTAGTGTCAATATGCTATTGGAGCTGAAGGGCACACTCTTCAATATTTTATAACATGTGCATGATTATTACTGACCCATTTAAGTTCTGAACTGCAAATTTATTATAGAGATACAGTGTGAAATATGTGGCATACGCTTGGTGTGAATATAGAAATGTATCTTAATTAAAAATATTAATTTCATGTTGAATCATCCTGCCTGAGACTTTCACTAGGGATAATTGATTAGTTTTTATTAGAAAGGCTTGTGTAGGCTGTCAAAATATGTACTGTATAACCATTGATTCTAATACTGTAGTAGTTTTCAGGAAGCTGTACAGCTGATTGAAAATGTGCGGTCTTATGATCTAATGCCATTACAAAGGAGCTTGTAAGGTATTTCTCCTCTCAGCAGCCTTTCATTCTCCATTTCTTTGTGTTCTCTGGCCAGATTTCCCTACTGAGCTTCTTGCAGCATAGCTCTGCTTGTTAGGTTTGTGAGAGATACGCTCCCTGGCTATGATCTGTGCTGCAAGGTATTCTATACTAGTAACTCTGCTTTTACTGTTACTGCTTGATTAACTTCAGGTGAGTGTTACTGTCCCAAATGCTCGTGCGAGTGTAAATTCATGGTCCTGATCTGGGGACATCTTTGCTGCAGGAGTATGTTGCAGTTCTGTAAACAATAGAAGGAATGCAGTGTAAATTGGGCATGAAGTAAGTATAAAATGTTTTTGAAGTGTTTGGGAGCCATAGTGAAGTTTGCTAGGATCTCAGGGGCTACTACTACATAGTAGCTATATAGCTCCAGCATATGTTTAGGGACCCCAGATCTGACTAGTGGTACTGTTCAGTTTCCCCTTAGAGCTTTTAAGTGGTCATGTTCTGAGCATTCCCCTAGAGATAGGAGGCATCTTTCTGGTTCTTATTTGAAAAGAAGGTATTTTGGTGTTGTGCTGCATAAATAGTAAGAATCATGTTGATGTAGAATAGTATGCCACAAAATTGTGTTGACAAACCTTTCCCAAATTCAAAGTGTAGAGGTAAACCTACTGAAGATGAAGGTCACAGAATGTCTTCACTTGCAGATGAACTTGAGAAAATTGACATCTGCTTCTGAATTGTTCTAAGTATTGTCCTCCTGGAGATAACACAGCCTTGGGAGAGTGGAGGTGAAAGGGACAGACTTTTTCGTATGTGCAACGACAAAATACAAGCTGACTTGTGAATGAGATTGCAGCAAAAATAGCTGAAGCTTGAAATCTGGTCTTAGGAATTGTTATTTTTATTTTCTTTCCTTTAACAGTCCCTTGGGTTTGAAAGTTACAGAATGAGTATGGCTTCGAGCTGCTGTTGCCTTATTTCAGAGGCAGGGGTGCGTGTGGCAGTCTGCGCATACGCTCAGCAAAACTGGCTGTAGAGGCTGTTGTTGAGTTTTGGCATTGTGTGCTAGACTTTCATCTGCCTCATTTTCTGCAAGAAGTCCACAGGGGAGTGGAGTTAGGGAGACGTGGGTAGGCTTCTCTTTTCCTTATCATAAAGATCTGTGGGTTTGGAAAGCAACATCCTCTGCTCTGTGGACTTCTTTCAGAGGACAAGGACAGAGGGCTTAGAAACTCTGCATCGCCTGTTCTTTTTTTCCTGCGCCCTGTGCCCAGACTGTGGGTATCTCCTACAGAGAGGTTTTCCAGTGTGTCCGGTGCCCAGGGGCAAATGATTAGATGTAAATTGTTGTACTGTCATACCCAATCCTTTCAAAAAGAGTCTGCTGATCTCCATTTAAAGAACAGGGATGTGAATACATACAAGAGAAGATGTCTCAATTTGGAGCTGTATAAATACTGATCCTTTTGCCCTTTCTCATTTAGTGTAGTTTTCTGTATGCTTTTTTCCCTCCCCTAGGAAAAGTAATGCTGTTCTGAAGTCTGCCTGTTTTAAGTTCAGAACCAGGAAAAGTCTAGGTTAAAATCTGAGAGGCGGGGGAATACTTCCATGGGGTGGCACTTGTCTAATTTTCTGTTCCATTCTCTCCCTTGTTTAAATGTGAAGTTGAATCGTTTTAAATGTTTCCTATAAAGCATGCAGTTTCTGCACTGCATCTCAGTTAGGGTATGTGTTGGCACTTTCACACTTGCATTTTCTGCCCTCTTTTCTTCTTTTCAAATATGCAACTTCATTGTTGAATAAATACAACTTTTTGCATTCCTTAAGGTAAGGATTTCTCAAGATCTCAAAGGGTTGTTGTTTCAATACTGGTTTTTTTCCCCTCCCCTGGCTGCAGACAGAAAATAAGGGGAGAAATACATTTTGTGAAAGATGTGCCGAAACTACTGCACAAAACCAATCCATTTATAAACAGTGTTGTCGTGTCTGTGGTGGATTAATGAAGCCTGCCTGTGAGTGCTATTCAGTAACACGGGCGAGACGTAGCATTCACTCAGCCAAAGACTTTGTTAGTCTGTCTCCAAGTGACATAAATGGGCTTCTGTATGGGAGAGGAATCACTAATACAGTGGCAGCCAGTCTTACTGATGGAGAGAGCTGTGGGGTGACCAGCTCAGCTGGTCAAGTTGAAGAGGAGCTGGGTTTGCAGGTAAAGAATAGTATTAGCTCTTCAAGGGGTAGAGAGCGGGCTGGGTGCCAGGGGCAGCCTCTGCCCTAGCAGCTCCTGCTGGCCTCCACCCCCTGGCAGCAGATTTGGTTTCCCCTACACCAGTGCAGCTGGTCTGACCCAGCTAGGACATGGGAGCTATGTTCAAGCCCCTTGGTGGGGGCATGTGGATGAAGAGCAAAGGTTAGTCACTGCTGGAGCAGTGGCCAGGCGAAAGTAAAGAGCATTAAAGCAAACAAAAACCCTGTTTCTAATCTCCAGTGCCATTGTAACTAGCAGTAGCTAAAGCTTCACTCAGTTGTTCTTTCCTTGCCCTGCAGCTTGGCTTTCTTCTCAAAATTAAGTGTAGTGCTTACACGTAGGTCCCTGTGTAGTAGACCACAGTTGCCAAGGAACAGGATAAGTGACTTGATGTCTTGCACCTGAGAGTGCTCTTGCTCTCCTTTGCTGCCAGCTGCTGTGAACGTACTGAAAACTAATTTGATGAACTGATTTTAAGAATGATTTGTCCCATAATGCCTTTCTCTCTTTCACTTTCCCAAAGCAACTTGTAATTGAGCTGACTGGAGAATCTCGGGGCAGGGATTTGACATTTTGGATTATACACTTAATTCCTTGAGCAGTTTTTCCCCAAGAGCAGCAGCTGCCTGTTGTAGCTTTCCATTTGTTAATTGAATCCTGGATGCGTGCACACACAAAAGCTAGTCTGCAAGATAAGGATCTGTACAAAGCTTTTCTTCTGCAGAAGGATTACTTGGCTTTCTCTTACCTGGTTAAATCTTAAACACTAGTCTCTTCCCTTTTTTTAACGCTCCACACCAGATCTTTTTGTCCCTTAATGCTAGCTCTGAGAGAGAAGGAATCCAAGGAAGCAGTGTTCAGAAATAAATTAAAGTGGTTGTTATAGACAAAGGATTTGTTAAAAAATAATCAAGCTGCTGGTCCAGTCCAGAGGCCTGTTGCTGCCTGGCTCAGAGGGTGCCACTCGGAGTCCTCCCATAGCTAACTGCTGCAGCTAGCCCCTCGGCGCATGGACGTCGGAGCAGGAAGCTTTTCTCTCTGCTGGTGTTCAGCTTATGCCCTGCAGCATGTGCTTTGATTCTAGTAGTGTTTAAACATAGATTTGACCACTAATAACAAATGTAGTTGTATGTTGTAGCTGTTAATGCAAAGCCTCTGTTTCTAATCAGTGCATGGTATTATAGTGCATGCTATGTGTGTTGTCCCCCCACCCCTTTTATTTACAGTGTACAGCCTCAGGTTTGTTTGCATCTCCACACTGTTTTGATTTAAGAAAAAAAATAATCTCCAAACGTTTCTAGTTGCTGATAGCCCGACTCCTCCCCCCCCACCGCCTCCTGACGAGATGCCGATGTTTGATGACTCTCCTCCTCCTCCACCCCCACCCCCCGTGGATTATGAGGATGAGGAGGCTGCTGTTGTGCAGTACAGCGATCCCTATGCAGATGGAGATCCTGCTTGGGCACCTAAAAACTATATAGAGAAAGGTAAGAGATGCGTTGCAACTGTGTGTTACTGCAGTATCAGAGGATTAACGGTATCTGAAGGGAATGAAGGACTTAGCTTGGGTCTGATGAAAACAGTCATTGTCCCTGCCAAGTCAGAATTCAAACCATTCTTTTCTTAGTTTGTCTGTGGCTACACCTAATGTGCTAAAATATAATCCTTCTTTGGAAGGATTATAAAATACCTTCAAGCATTCTAGAATGGATAAAAAAATTCCTTTGTTACGAGAAGCAGACTTAAGTCAGATGGCTTTCATCTTTGCTCAGCTGCTGGACTGTGTCTGGAGCTACCTCAGGATTGCTGCGCAATCATCTAGAAATACTGTTGCAAAACGACCAGGAAGTCCGAGCTCTATTTATCCCATCAAACTAGATAGCTCAAGCGGCTCGTTAGACTTCCAGCTATACACTATAGCAAGGCTTCCTTGGAGACTTATCACTGACTCTGGATAGCAGACTATGAACTGTGCATAGGTATAAACGCATATAGAAAATGTCTCTTCCCATGAATAACTGAGATGCTGACTTCCTGCCTGTAGAGTTGTCCGTATTGTCAGTGTTCCAACAGTGACCACAGCATGTCAACAGCAATGTTGCAAGTTTTCTCATGATCTGGCTGGTACTGTAGTGCCTCTGACATGGGGTAGGGTACCTGTGATACCTGTCTTGGCAGAACTGCTGTGTTCCATCTTCACTCCTAGCTGGATTGTGTGCAGGATGTACCCACGGGATGAAAATAACAGATGCACTGCATCATTATTTGCTAGACATTAAGACATCAGATTTCTGAGAATATATGTATGTGTAAAATAGTAGGTTCTCAGAATTCATAAAACTGACCAATTGCATAAATCCATGTTAACTGTTTTGAAGGGTAAGGCTGTGATGTCCAAAGTTTGTGTATTCACAGTGGTAGTTCTTAATTCCAGTATTACTGGTGGCAACAATTACTTTCCTTAGGGAGATCTCCACTTTGTTAATTGCACACTAATCAAGAGGTCCCTCTACAGGGATCTATACACTTTTGAGGTAATCTGACCAGAAATGACTGCCACACTCATGGACACAGTTATTTCATAGTTCAGCTTTTAAGTGCTATATGCTCTGCTTTACTGTGTCGCAGTGAACTGTCCACTCTGTCAATCGTTTAACTGAGCATTTGGTGTAGTTAACACCCACTTCTTACTGGTAGCCAATGTTGCAACAAAAGTGCAATTTCATTTTCTGGACTTAATGTTCAACAGGGAAAGCATATGAATTCATTATGGAAAATCCTAGGATAGCAAACTAGTCTTTTAAGAAATAATTGTACTTCAAAAAATGTTAATACTGGTGCTATTAATAAAATGCTAAACATGTCCCTGTTCGATCCACAGTTGTTGCTATATATGACTATACAAAGGACAAAGACGATGAGCTGTCGTTTATGGAGGGTGCAATCATTTATGTGATAAAGAAGAATGATGACGGCTGGTATGAAGGAGTTTGCAATCGAGTAACTGGCTTGTTTCCTGGGAATTACGTTGAATCAATCATGCACTATGCCGATTAAAATCCTTTGCTTTTCAAAGTTCGGTCTTGTATTCAGTCATACCGTGATTATTTACAAGGGGTAACTAAAAGCTAACAGAATTGTCTTAATATACTTTCCAAAAAAATGTGCCCATTTCTTCAGGCCATACTGTTTTAATGGTATGATTGAATGTCCATCTCTCTAAGTCTCTGGAGACAGTATGTCTTACCTGATGGCAATTTGTAAAACAAGCAACTGTCTATAACTGGTTATACTTATTTACTTATGCATTGTTAATTTTATGACCAGCCTAAATATTCTGGGGAAGTAGGGTATAATATTTAATGAACCATGATCAGATTGTGCCATTACATTTTTCAGTACAGCATGGTAACTAACACTACGTTAGACTAACACATTAAAATCTGGATGAGAAGTTTAATGTTAGTGCTGGTCATATTACTTTTTGTTTAGACTCTTTGCTCATTCTTGAACTATATTTGTTTAAAGCATGCATACAAACTTATGTATTGAAATATACTTTTTTAAAAATCCAAGATGCTTCCAATTGTTGTAATCTTTACCTGGAGTATTCTCACTAAAGTCTATTACAATGAGTTGTTTGGGTCTAAGGTGTCCATGTGAATCAAAAAATGGGTGGTCTTATGTATGTGTAATTTGTACCCAAGTTTTTTTAATGAGTAAATTTACATTATGACTTTTTCCATTCATAAATATATAAGTGAACCAAAGGTCTTGTCCATTACTTTGTTGGTTGGCTTGGCAAAGAAGTTTGGAATGCTAAGGTAGCAAAATCATGGCTGTGTATCCCAGGCAATGTACTAAAAAACAAATGTTTGTAATGTGACTTTATCACTGACAGAGGGCAAATAAATTAGATATGAAACCTGAACTACACATTTATACATACTCTTAAAAGGTCTTTTCTTCCAAAATTAATTTTAGCAAGGATTCTTGATTGAATCTAGTTCTCTAGATGCAGTAAGTTGGACACCAGCTGTAAGTGATATTTCTTAGTGGAAATTATCTGGCTTGATGTGCCCAGCCAAGCAGAGATGGCAGGCTGTCCTCAAGATATGAAGGGTGGGAACAAACACGACAGGAACTTGGCTGTTGTACTAAGGGATCGTAGGCAGAGAGAGAGATGATGTACCTTCCCTTTTCTACAGATTCTGTGGTTTAAATAACCTGAAAAGTAATGTGGTAGTACTGGATAATTACTGTAAGAGGGATGCATCTGGGACTTCCAAGCAGAATTCTAGGAGGGTACTGAATATACTCTGTAAATGAGCGATGGAAGGTGATGGAGTTGAAGCTTTGACTGGCTGTTGAATCATTCATTTTTAGTGTGAGTTAGAAGTACTGAGCCTTTCCTTTGCTGAAGTGTAGCAATCTCAGTTTCTGCATCTTGTTAACAGCTAGCAAGTAGCAACCAATAGCACACCTGTATTTCATTATGAACTGGAAACTTCTCATTGATGTATATAACCAATGAAAGTCTACATATAGTCCTTTATAATAAACCAATTTCCATTTATACAATGCCAGGTACTTCTGTAGTTTAACAGCCAGGAAAGCGTTCAAACCATCTCTCTTGACAGGAGTCTACCAGATAGTAACATGCATGCTCTGTTTATTAGTGTGAACAAGTGAAATTTGGAACAACTTCAGCTCTTATACACTGATTTGTATTTATTCTCATTGTGGCCTTTCTGCATCAACATGTAAACATCTTCCCCACCCCCCACAATTAATAGCCCCCACTAAAACAATTGTACAGCACAGTTTGATTTGCTCTGATTTGTATAGCTTCCCACAATAAAACACTTTAAACTTTTGTTTTTTTAAAAAAAAGTAGAACTTCCAAAAAAAAATTTTTCTAAAAAAATAATTTTTGGTAGCCTGTGTTGGAAGCAAGTAACTTTTGAAGTAAATTTAGGCACAGTCTGGTAAGTAGCTGCCAGAACGAGTGGAAGGAGTTCTCTCACTTGTCTCGCATGAGTACCATTTCCGTCAGTTGAATGAGGGCTTCTCTTTCAGGGGATGGCCGTAGCTTACTGATCTCTCTTGTAGCTTCATGGCAGTAGCGCTGGGCGAGGTAGGTTGTTTGCTGCACACCGTCACTCTTGCGTAAGAAGACAGTTAAAGGTAATGGGTAACTGGTCAGCCTCCCTCCTGCCTTTTGCCTCTTCCAGTTACAGGGGGAAGTTTTACGGTCAATAAGGACCCTGAATACTTAATTATATTCTGAAGGGGAAAGGAAAAGGATTCATTCTGTATTCATTGAATCCTACATCTCTTCCCCAAAATGTCAAAATACTAAAACTCATCCATGTTAAACTTAAGTATACTTACAAAACAACACTGGTATTAATAACATACTATTCAGTAGGATTAGAAACTAATGGTTTAACCCCTCCCCTCCTGCCCTAAATACAGACATTAAAAAAAAAAAACTATCCTGCTACAAGAGGTATTAATTTTGCACAGACAATTATTCAGTCTCTTCAGGCCAGAGTTGATTAAAACTGATATGAAGTGTGCACTGCAGTTACAAGACTGACTGGTAACTACATGCTGCTTATGCCAGTTGTTGGATACAGCTGCTCTTCAGCTGAAGGAACTGAATTTATGTATGAGCTTTTTAGTTTTATTACATGGATTTTATGCTATTGGAGGGGAAAAAAAAAAAAAGCAGCTCTTCAGTACTTAGCATTTCTGCTAAAACACTGCTACTAAGACAGCTGAAGAGTACTAACTTGGTATTGGACACAGCATGCTAACTTAACATTTATCTGAAAATGTAGCCCTGCTATTTTACTTCAAAGGCAAGGAATTGCAGACTGACTTAAGCAGGAACAG